AGAGGAGAAACAATAATGTAACCATGGTGGAAAAAAATTTTTTTTTTTTTTTTACCTTAAACCGCATAAACACATTTAATTACACCAAATACACAAAATAATCTTCTTTTTAGCAGCATCATATGACCCCTTTAAAGCACTGAGAAGTTGTCACAAGGTCTGAATCTTACTAAAATGCTTTCTGCCAAGAATCATGATGGTTGTTATTATGACAAATGTATAAAACTTTTATTTATTATAGCTACAATGGTTTTATATTTTTGTCTGTTTCATGAATTGCTGTATGTTTCAAAATTGTTGTACTGTTTAAATATAAATTAAAAGGCCCTATAGAATCCAGTGACAACTTATCCCCAAAAGTGGGTCATGTATGCAATAACTATTTTGTGGTCGACTCTATGATAGGATATGTCTACACAAACACGGAAATAAACCTTCAGTACAAACCTTCAACCTTCAGTGACAAATAGTTCCTATCCACCTTTTTCTTCAACGCGGAAGTAAGCCTATGGGTGAGACTTCCGGTTCATTAGTCGCTATAGGTACATAACGAGGAGAATAATAACGTGCAGTAAACGGTAAAACTGTTTGCACTACAAACCAGTGTGTTCATAATTTCAGATAATACATTAAAATAATATGATAAGACACACCAACTTTCAATATCAAGCAGCAAAACGAACTGCTTTGTTCAGCTAAAAATAGCTGGACGGAGTGGACGCGGATGAGACCGGAAGCCAGACCCATATAATTTACAAATGGCCGCGCCCATTTTTACGACAAGAAAAAGGTGGATATAAAAGATGAGTTTTAACGCCGTTACAGAATGCACTGTATCGGCCAGAAAATGTAACACGTGATTTTAGTTTCGCTCTTGGCTAATAACCAGTGCCGAGAAATGATGGCTTGGCCGTCGGAAGTCTCGCGAGAGTTCATTATGACATTTTATTTATTGTGAGTAATTTCCGAACTGCGTTTTTGCGCCTATGCCTTGAAGGGCATTTCGGGAAGAGGGCGCCTTTTGTTGTGTTTGTTTAGAGTCCAAAATAGTAATCTTTACTCCATCCGTAGTAACAGCAAATGCGATTCTCGCGATATTTGCGACAGTCAAGACTTCCGGATAATGATAGTGCGCGGAAAGAGGATCTGAATCGACGGACTGTAATATAACTCTTACAAATGGGAATTATGCGTAAAGAAATAGTAAGAACAGTGCTGTGACCGTTTTATTTTTAGCGGGTTTAACAGATAGTTTTGTGTTTTAATTGTATTGTGTGAGTATATTATAAGTGCACACACTACGCAGCATTTACTTTGTTGATCGTAAAAGGAACTGGCGTGTTTCCTCAAGAAAGCCACTGAATGTCGCTTTCACGAAACGCACAGGTTTCACGGTGAGAGATATGGATTAAAAATCGTCGAAATGATCCGCCACGTTTGCGTAGGGGCGGTTTTGATGCTGTTAATCAACATCGGTAAGGACGCAAAAGACATGACATCTGTGGAATTGCAGTAACTGTAATATTTAAAACAGCGTATAATTACTTTTTTATATCCATAACCTAGAATACAGCCTGTCTGTTTTATTTCAGAGGGGACATTCTGCTTATATCCGCCTCAGGATGTCAAGTTAGTCGGATCATATCTGCAGTGGAAGAAGCCTCCGGATGAAGACAGTGTGCTGTATTTACTGCAGTATAAACATGGCTCGTAAGCATTTTGTTTTAAAGGGATTGTTAAACTAAAAAGACAATTCTGTCATCATTTATTCACCCTCATGTTGTTCTTTCTGCACTGAAGCACAACATGAGAAGTTAGACAGAATGACAGTCACTGCTCGCTTTCATTAGCCCTTTTTCCATACAGTGAAATTGGATGGTGACTGAGGCCTTAGTAGAAAAACTAACTTCTTCTCTATGGTTACTTTGATTTTAGCAAATCAGACGATGAATGGTACAATGTGATGAGCCATAACGAGACCGAGTCAAGATTTAAAATCACTCCCGAGTTTTATGGAGCAGTATTTCGAGTACGCGCAGAGAAAGGGAACATCATGTCTGAATGGCAATATTCAAAGAAAGTCCAGTGTGTAAATGGTAAGGAGTGCTTTATGTGGTTATGTGTTCCATCCATTTTAAATTGAAATGTTTTATCACCTCTAATATGTAACGTAAACTCAAGTGCACATATTCACATAGTTATATATTTCTTTGTTCACCCTGTTCCACAGCTAACGCTTGTGCTCCTGTGATGAAACTGTCTGTAAAACCTGAAAAGGCTTATGTGACTTTGGAAAATATGGACGAGAGCTTGGAGAAAGAACATGGAGAAAATATACAATTTAATGTATCATTCTGGAAAGTGGATAATGGAGGATACTCGAAGGTATCTTGCATCCTTCACACACACACACACACACACACACACACACACAAAAAATCACGTAAACTTATTCATTCACTATATTTCTGAAAGAGGACTATTGTAAAGCTGATAAGAGTTTTTGATCCCACAGGTAGAGTTTATTATTACAAATAGCAGGAAACACAAACTTGAACTGGAATCAGGGCAAACCTACTGTTTCCAGGTTCAGTATCTCTTCTATGAAAAGCCTTATGGAAATGTTAGCAACCAAAGTTGTGCAATCATCCCAGAAACGCGTAAGTCTTATTCACTTATTTATTACAAACTGCAAGAGTTTGATTCACATTGTTTGTGATTAAACCCAACCAGAAATTAGTTAGCTTTTAAGCAGATACTGAAATGAATTGCATGCTGCAATACATTATGAATTTTGCTGACATACTTTAATTTGTTTTACTGATCATTCATAATGCCTCCTGTTCTTTCATTTCTTTTTTCCTGTGTAGTGGAAATGATAAAGAGCCGTGATTTGCTGTTTATTATATTAACTACACTGCTTTTTACGGCCATGTGTGGAGTCTGCATTTTTCTGCTATTTAGACACCACAAAAAGGTCAAACAACTGTTACAGCCACTCCGCCTGGAAATTCCTGACCATTATCTAGAGGTACACATCCATATTTTATATTTATCACTTCACGAGATAAAGTAAAGTAACTGAATAGGAACTCTGTTAATATGGTAAATTATAACAGTGTACTAACAGTGTACAGTGTACTCAAATTAGTTTTGAGGGCTTAAAAGTCTTGCTACCAGGCAACAACCCTCTCTTAAATGATCATGCAACACTTAGTCAGATGTGAAGTTTTTTTTTTTGTTTGTTTGTTTTTTATTAAATAAGTTCTATTTTCTCTCCCTATATAGTTTTTAAGGTCTGGGGATGGGGAGTTTCCTCTGCAGGCATGTCCAAGTCCCAGCAGTCAAAGTTTACAGTCATGTGACATGATCATAGTAATAGAGAACAGCAGTGTGAAGCAGAAAGGCCAAGAAGAGGAACACGTTTTTTAACTTAATGATTGTGTTTGGCTTTATGCATATAGAATGTGCATTTACTTTTTTGGGGGGTAAACAATATGCTTTGCACATCACTAACAAACTATGCTTACAAATTCAAATCTGTACTGTGTAAGTACAGATTTTTTAAAATACACTCTTAAAAATAAAGGTGCTTCACGATGCCATAGAAGAACCTCTTTATCTAAATGGTTCCATAAAGAACCTTTAACATCTGAAGAACCTTTCTGTTTCACAAAAGCTTCTTTGTGGAGAAAGAAGGTTCTTCAGATTACAAAAAGGTAAGAAAGAGATGGTTCTTTAAAGAACCTTTGACTGAATGGTTCTTTGTGGAACCAAAAATGGTTCTTCTATGGCATCGCTTGAAGAAACTTTTGAAGCACCTTTATTTTTAAGAGTTACTGGTCCAGGATCAGAAAACAGTTATATTAGTAATAGGGTATATATTGCTGAACACAGAATATAATTTGTTTCCCCCTTTGATTTAAGCTATTTGGGTTAGATTAGATAACAATGTTCAATATGTCTAGCTCTATTAACACTAAATATGAAAATCATTGTTTGTTGCATCAGATTTAGGACAATGTAATCGCTATCTGCCTCTAATATACATAAGTATCTAGGATGGGGAAAGCAGGGGTTGAGCACAAGTAAATAATTAAATTCCTGCCCATAACATTTAAATAAGTTTAAATGTATATGAAATCTGCAAATCACTGTAATAATTTTATTTGCTTGTTATTGTTTGGCACTAACTGTGATTGGTCACTCCATTTGATCCTCTGTTATTTCTTCACTGTTACAACACAAGACACAAGTGCTCAGTTTTTAGTATTGCATTCAGTATTTAGTTACCTTAATGTTATTTAAAATTCCTTCTAAATAGCAGTATACATTTGGTATTGTCTTCCCCACTTCTTGTATAAGTATATTTATATATTTTCTATTTCTGAATTTCCTTTTCTTTTTTTTCTTTTTTTCACTTGGTTGCCATAATTTAAAAAATATATAACATTTCATGTAACGAATGCAGTTATCTACACTGATGGATTCTATATGGAGGAAAGGAGGATCTTTGAGGAGTAGTGTTATCTTGGAAAAGTATGTGCCAGAGCTTATTTTAATTGCATGTTAAAATTGGTTTGCTTTTGATCAAATGTTGAGCTTGGTTATATTTTTATATTCTTGTTAAAAAAAAAAAAGTTATAGTGTGAAAGCCTTAATTTGTCATAGTCGCCATGCATTTGACAAGCAATACCAACTAAGTTAGTAGTTGTTGTGGTCAATAAACTGCACTTTAACATAATAGTGTAGTTTGATCAATTAATTTTATATAGTGTATCGATGAAAATAGTCTGAGTTTTGAAACTACTGCTAATTGAGAAAAAAAACAGTTGCTGTGTTTTCAGTTTAAGCCAGAGATCAGACATTTGTCTTTGTAACGGAAATCCCTGAATAATGTAAATGTCTGCTTTTCTTGTACAGATTTTGTATAAACTTGCTCAAGTGGATTTGTGCAAGTTTCATAATTGTGAAAAAAGGTGATAGAAGAAAAATAAACTGTTCTAGCAATACCAACTAAGTTAGTAGTTGTTGTGGTCAATAAACTGCACTTTAACATAATAGTGTAGTTTGATCAATTAATTTTATATAGTGTATCGATGAAAATAGTCTGAGTTTTGAAACTACTGCTAATTGAGAAAAAAAACAGTTGCTGTGTTTTCAGTTTAAGCCAGAGATCAGACATTTGTCTTTGTAACGGAAATCCCTGAATAATGTAAATGTTTGTCTGCTTTTCTTGTACAGATTTTGTATAAACTTGCTCAAGTGGATTTGTGCAAGTTTCATAATTGTGAAAAAAGGTGATAGAAGAAAAATAAACTGTTCTATGATTAAGATAAGGGGCATACATCATTTATTCTAATGACATGATAACATGCAACTTTTACCTGGAATTTTTTTTCTTCTTTTTACCACAAGAGGGCACAAACCTGACAAGTACCAAATGGTGTTACTCTCATCTTTAGTTAGTACTCACTTCCTAAACCCTGCTGCTTTAAGAAAACCTAATCATATATTGCAGCATTGCACATCTTTTACCTGAATGGTTACTCATAAAGAAAAGCTGGGAGCGAGAATCCATTTTAGACTGAACTGTGAACTTGTGCACCCTGTTTTCTTCACAGAACATCCTATCATTGCATGAGGCTGAAGTAAAGAATGTGCCAGCGGCAAACAATGTGTTGGATGGCTTTAGAGATGACAAGGAAAGAGTCTTAAACCCCTTAACTGTTCCTCCTGATGCCTTTGTCTCAATATCCATCAAAGGAATGTTATTAAAAAGCCTGCAAACCCACAGTGAGGAACAAAGGGCTTCAAATACTTAATGGCAGACAGGTGTTTATGCAGGTGATGCTTGACACATGGATGTTTGTGTCCTGAGAAAGAGACATTTGTCAAAGAGGTTATTTTCGAAACACTATCTAAACTATGGACCAATATCCCTTCTGAAAAAGCACCTTGAACCAGCCCGAGAAGTGTTGCTGGTCTCGGATGGTTTAGCTAAGCTGGTCTAGCTTGGCTACAATGATGGCCAAGCTGCTGTTCAGCTGGATGGTGTCGTGGAAAAAATCTTGGTTGAGAAAGTTTCAACTTTTGTTTTTGTCTTCTTTTATTCTTTGCAAAGAGAGTCAACAAACAGAAGGGTGAATACCCCGCCATTTACACTCTAACCAGCTAAAACTAGTTCTTTCTACCGGTTAAGATGCTCAGGATGTATCTTTCTATATGCAACAAAGATGATTCAACAAAAGACTCTTCATACGCATTTCATATGCAGCCAAGTAAGAAATTAAGCAAACAAAGTAAATTTTCATCACAATGCCCAGTTAGTCTCCCATCTTAAAACCAGACAGGAAAACCAGTTAAGACTGGCAGACCAGTTTAGATGTAGCTGTTTTGTTGTTTGTTTTTCTTGAGCAAAGATTGGAGGTCTTTTACTATATGCTAATTGAATCAAAAGCCATTCTTGTGTGCAAAGGTTGATCTCTCATGAAAATATTTAAAGCATGGAAAGAAGTACTTTTAAAAACTTGATTTAAAAGGTTGTTTTATACGTTGAAGGTGATCATCCGCTTGGAGTCGTAAAAAATGCTCAAATTAATTTATTCATTATGTGCATTCTTTGATTATTTTAACATTGATTTCTGTATGAGTCTGTAAGGATTAATTCTCTTGTTACATGTTAACTACCATTTAAATTTTGGGGTCAGTAATATATATATATTTTTTTGAAAAAATACAAAAATAAATGCTCTAATTTAGAAAGGATGCATACATTTTTTCAAAATTTAATGTAAAGACATTTATAATGTTACAAAAGAATTAGAAGTATCCACAGAAATATTAAGCAGCAAAACTGTTTTCAACATAGATTATAATTAAGAAGTGTTTCTTGAAAACATTACATTTATCTAAATAAAAAATAAAAAACTTCGCGTGTGTTTTCCTGACAAAACGTGGTTTGTAGAGGCGTTGGGTGACAGAGTTGTTGTCAGCTCGTGTAGTGTGTGAACACTACAAGACAGAAAATCAAGTCATGTAGTCTGAACAGCACAGCGATCTCCCGACGTTTAAAGTCGTGTAGTGTGAACTTGGATTAAGTATTTGGTTAATGCTGATGATTATAACATTTGGTCATAGTATTTTGAGAGCCCAGTGCTCTTTCTGGAAGTTCCCCACAGGCAGTTATAGATCACAAATGCAAAACTGGGCAGTGTTTAGGTGTCACAAGCTCCCTGCAGTCAAAGACAATAGCCCTCTCACTCTCAGGTTGAGTGTCTGTCTGTGTATTTCTCTCTTGCCTCAAGGTGAGAAAATAAGTGCACTTGTCTTATTTATGTCTGGGTATCTATGAGAAGGAAAACATGAAAGAGAGACAGAAAATAGACAAACTGCATTGATTTCGCTCCACTCCACATGTAACATCACAATAAGATGGTCAGGATAAAAAAATGCCTCAGCAGACAGTCCACACGCAGTTGAAACTTCAAAGCTCTGGCATAATAACATCATAAAGTAAATACTTAGCAAGCTCTCACAGAGATGTTTTTGTTCAAGATGAGAATGGATTGAAAGTTTGGTAAGAGATTATCTGCCAAGAAAAAATATCATTTTTAGGACATCTGAAGCCTTCAAAATCACTTAGTTCAGTGGTTTATTTTGCTCGTTTAAAACTTGCATAACACCATACACCGACAGTGTTATATTCTGTAGGCTATATTTCAGAATCTTACTTTATACATAGAATTTTCACTTATGTCCGTCTGTCCACATCTAACCTTCTAGAGTTGGTGTGAAACAATTTGAGGGCTGCACATTCATGTGTGCCATTTTCTGCCTAAATATGGGCAATATACAAAGAGTATTTTACTTTACAATGACTAATGTGTTTGAGAATAAAGGCAAAATAAAACATATGGCGAGAATCAAGTACAATAAGCATTGAATTCTGAACTCTGTTTTAAAAACATTTGCTATTTCAAGGACTGCAACAGTTGTCTGATTTGTCAAGCATGTAAATGTACATCCTTGTGATATTTACTGTACTTGTTAGTCTGTGTAATTTATGTTGTCAAACAAAACATGGAATATTTTCAAGTATGTTAATCACAGAACTTATTTTACTCTAAAATTGAAAACTCATAAGAAATTCACAAGGGAACACAAGGCCAGTAAATGCTAAATCTAGGACTAAATTAGGACAAAAAGTTAAATATCTTCCAAATCAAAAACTTAAAAGGTAAAATAATTCTGATTATTCTCTCTCTCTCTTTCATAAGATCAACAATTTGCTCATTGGCCTACAATCAACGATGGGCAGTATTTCAGACACATGTATTTAAAATACAAAATACTTTTTTTGTATAAAAAAAAAACCTGAATGTAATTTGCATTGAAGTACATTTTTCCACACAGAATTTTGTATTTGTATTTTAAATACATTTTCCACACAGAATTTTGCATTAGTATTTTAAATACATTTTCATGTATTTGTGCCCATCTCTGCCTACAATCATACGGCTTTGACAGAGGTTAACTCTAGTTATAGAGAACCGCAAATTGCGAAGAAA